TCACCAATTGCCCTCATACTTTACCATCACCCCGACCCGTGCATCAGCTGGGGAGCCCCGTCACAGCGAAGGATCAGAGAGCCTTTCCCAGAAATTGGGAAGTCCTACGCAGTGTGTCCACTCGTAGGTGAGGTCTCCGTCTGTGCTGTGAGAGGGTCTGGCTTTTATACAGTTTAACAAACAAGTCTAAACGAAATGCACAGGAGATACCTGGTAGATTGACATGCCTCACTCAGGCGTGTCCGGATCTGGCCAGGATCCGGGCACGTCTGAGGAGTTTCTGTTTTTCTTTACATTTGGGATTTATAGTTACTTCCTATTGTTTACTTACAGTTCCCAGGGATTGTTCCCAGGGTTGCATTTTCATGCTGATAAGGTGCTGGTTGCTTCATTCTGCTGCTAAGATGCTGATTGCTGGTGGGGGAATGCACTCAGAAGTCAACTTTGGTTTGAGGCCTATTGTTTGGGCCTTTTCTGTTTCAGAGTCCAGTAAGGAGAACCCGTCGGGGCAGAAAGAGACGATCGTTATTGAAGGAGAGCACAGGGGAGGAGGCCTTCTGCCGAGGACCTGATGGCAGTCCTTTGCTGCTTGAAGACATAAACCTGTCAGGACGTGATGAAGGATCAAGAACTTCAACAGATCCTGTTTCAAGAACCAGATCCTGCAGAACTGCCATGCATCAGAAACGGCCTGTTGAGGAAAAGGAGTCCTTCCTTTTCTCACCTCCTCTCACAAAGCTGACAAAGAAATTTAAAGGTGGGTGCGCTACGATTATACCCAAAACAGGGCGTATTTATTGCTGTTTTGCAAACCAGAGAAGACAGACCGTGAGGACGGCTTTAGGTATTGTAAGGAATGTAACCGTGCAAAATCAAAAATCCTGCAAGAGGCCATTCATCTTTTTTCTGAACTCTGTATGAGTGGGTGGCTAGTTGAGGTGGAAACAGATGAGGGGACTGCTCTGAGTAGAGTGAAATGAAATTTACGCTGAATTTTTGTTAGGAGCTCATTTTCTCTCAGTTTCAAAGCCCGAAGGGTATCTGTTATATGTATGTTTATGATATGTGCTTATATATGTTTTATAGATATGTATTTTATATATATATATATATGATAGCCATCCTTTCCCCCAGTGGGGAAACAGAGGAGACACGCTTCCAAGTTCCGTTCAGTTTTTAACTTAAAATGAGCTGCATCTTGCCACAAACTACACAGCTGTTTAATTAATTAGGTGATAGTTTCTCATGGGCATATACTTTGCTAGGGAGGTTATTGTGCATAGGCTTCTTTTGATTAGAGTGCGTGGTAAAAAAAAGTTAGGCTTTGCTGGTGTGGCGTTGTTTCCCTCGCGTGGGGAGAACATACTTAAATCTGTAGGAGAGAGTCACCAAAAACCCAGGCCTGTTGCCTGTGTTGCAGATGTCCCCGCAGTTCAGCTTGTCAGGTTGCTGTTTGTAAAAGTATGTTTCAGCATTCGGGATTGAACAGCTGTCTGGCCAGGGTGCTGGGCAGCCTGCCCTGGGGGACCCTGCTTGAGCAGGGGGGCTGGGCCGGGTGACCTCCAGAGATTCTGGAAGGCCTTTGTCTTCATGGTGATGCTGTGATTCTGGAATCTGTGATGCGAGGGGCAAGCGGTGAGATGTCACTGGGGGGTGGCGCGCTGGAGGTGTCCTGCTGACTACGGTCTCCCTCTGCCAGGAAGGCTGCGTGTGTGTTCTGTGCTGAGGCACTCAGCACCTACGTCCGTCTGTCCAGGTACACCAAGCGGTGTGAAAAAGAGCATCATTTCAGAACTGACGTCGGGAGCTTTTGCAAACTCTGCCGTGTTAGGCAGGGACTGCACCCCTTGGATGACAGCGGAGTTTTGTCAGGGAATAGCCACAGGAGGTAGCTGGGTAAACTGGCTCTAGCGTCAAGTTCTGGGGTGGTTTGGCTTGTTTTTTCATTTAAAGGGAAGTCAAAGCTGTGGGCTGCATCAGCTCCGGGATCTTCTCTGCTGGGGGTTGTTGGGCTAGAGAGCTGAAACTCTTTCTTCTTCTCACCTGCTGCTGTAGATTCGTGCTTATGGAGCAGCCGCACAGACTCTGCAGGAGAATCTGTAGGCTGCGCTTGAGTGAGATAAGCCTGATTGTAGAATTCCGAGGCAGACGGTCTCCGATATGCTCGTGGCCTTTTAGAGTAAAACTCCTGTTTTGGTCTGAGTGGAGAGGTGATACCCCGGTGGGTCACGCTGCCACGCGGAGGGACTTTGACAGGCTGGAGAAATGGGCTGACGGGAACCTCAGGCAGTTCAACAAGGGGAAAGGCCAAGTCCTGCACCTGGGGAGGAACAACCCCATGCACCAGCATGTGTTGGGGGCTGCCCAGCTGGAAAGAGGCTTGGCAGAGAGACCCTGGGAGCCTGCTGGGCACCAAGCTGACCGTGAGGCAGAAGTGGCCCCCGTGCAGAGAAGGCTCTTGGTGTCCTGGGCTGCGTAAGGCGGAGCTTTGCCAGCGGGTGGAGGGAGGTGAGGGCTTTTGACTCTCTGGAGCCCCCGGATGCAGTGCAAAAGGCTGTCCCGCTGTTTACTTTGAAACGCTGACAAGCACCAAAAAGCAAATGCAGCAAAACTGCTGCAAAGAAGTTGTCCCAGTTGGAACTTGATCTGTGCTAGCTGTGAATGCTGGCAGAGTGGTCAGGCTGGCTGGCTGCAGCAGCGTCCTGCGATACTGGCTTTGCCATTGGCAACGCTTTTTTCAACGTGTTGACTTGTGCTTAGTGCAGGCCCCTGACTTACACTTCCTGCCTTTCCCACACTCCTTGGTTTTGCGCTGGCAGAAGATACTGGACATATTCTCAACCCGAGTGCTTGTGACTGGACATGTAGTGGATTCCAGTGCACAGGCTTCAGAGCATGAACTTTCTTACGGTGCCATTTTCAATAGCGCAGAGAACTTGCAGAACGTAGTAACTTGGAGTAGTTTGCATTCCCATGTGTATGGAATATCTCTTGTTTAGCCACCTATTTAACCCTGTAAATCAGTTCAGCTCTCAAGTTTTGCCACCAGCACCTCTGTTTTGACATAGTGAAATACGAACTCCTTGTGGAGCACCTGTAGAAGTGTGGACACCGTCTGAAGGGCCTAGAAATTTCTGTAGTAGACTGCAGGGATGTGATGAGGGCAGGCAGTAGGAAGGAAGGGACTGGAATAAGGAATACGAGGATCTCAGAACAGGAAAATATCAGTGTTTTAAAGTGCTGTGTTCTGTTTCCATCGTAAGTGTATGGGAAACTACTTTCTGAATGATGAACTGTGGAAGTCTGTATTGCTTGCAATGTGAAATACGATTTTTCTCAGCTCGCATCTTATTAGCCTATGTGAGCAGACGTGAACTCAGGGTATTGGGTTTTTTCCTGTTATTTATCTTGTCCATACGTCTGTGTCACTTTTTGTTTGTGATCCCACAGGCATCAGAGAAGGGAAAGGATTCTCGCTTTGCTCTGCTGTGAGATTGAAAACTGTCCCGAGTGCCGCTTTTTTAAGGGAAAGAACTACAGGTGATGTACAGGAGATGATTCGCTGCATCCCGATGGAACTTGTGTCAATCTCAAAAATAGTTAGGGCTGACGTGGGTCATTTTTTTTTTTTTTTTCTTTACAGTGAAGAGTGCGAGACCTGATGGCTCGGGTAACGAGCAGTCTGCTGCAGTTTCCCGAGGTGACTGTTCAGGCACTTGGGGAAGATGAGACAACCCTAGATTCTGTGCTGAGCGGGAAGTTTTCTGGAGGTGAGCATTTTCCTTTAAATTTGGTCTTGGTGCAAAGATGTTATTGCCTGGAGGTTACCTGAAGCACCGGGGCACCGTAGCAACTGTGTCAGGTTGGTGCTGTTAAGATGCGTCGGGTTTGCCGAGAACAGAAAGGATGTTTTAACTATTAAACGTGTTCATATTAAAACGTTAGTGTAGCTCAGCTTTGAAACTACAGCAGCCTGCACCCATCTTGTGCCATCAGAACAATTTCCGTAAGCGTTGCTGGGTCGGTGGCCCTCCTCAAATTCTAATTCAGTAAGAGGCAGTTTTCCAAAAAGTAATAGTGTTGTTTGGGGCCGTATTGATTTGTACCAGCTCAATCTCTGTGACCGTCACATGCCGAAATGTTACAGAGGCAAACCCCCCTGGTTTTACTTTTCTAGTGTGAATAAAAACAGAAGGAGGGGGAGAAGGCTGTTGAGCGCTGCATCCGTATTTCCCAAGAATCTGACAGGACGCAGATGAGTACCCAGTGAGAGTTGCTGAAAGTGGCTGAGCAGATTAGGTCATTGACTTTCTAGGTGATCTGAAAGTAGAGCTGGGTGCCTGCCCGGATGCCTGGGCTTCTGTTTAGACCAGCTAGAGTCCACCTGCCTGACTGGAAGTGCAGTGGTTGAGTTGAGTTACTCCTTGCTTTGAGTTTGAGGAAGTTCAGTGAAACAGCACGTGTTAAATTCTTCCTGTGCTCAGCACGTGTAACAGTTTGAGTTTACTCATGTGGTGCCCATTTTAAGATAAATTCTTGCTGAAGTCTAAATCCCTGCCCAAAGTAGGCATGTGGCAAGTAAAATGAATACACTAGAAACGAATTGGTTTAGATTTGCTCTACTCAAAGTAGGCTTTAGGACTTGTATTCCCCTATGTATTTAGAGGATTCTAGCAAAACCTAGCTGAATATGGTAAACAGACTAGAGATCAATATCTCGTAATCTTTATCCCAAACAATCAGAACTCTTCAGTGCGGGAGTGACAAGTACAAATGCAAAATACCAAAGGTGTTAATTTTCAGATACATTCCTTGAGGATTTCAACGGGTGGCTTTAACTACTTGACCGGAATCGGGCGGGTTGGTCTTCCTCTGCTCGGTACTTTTACTGAAGGAAAGGGCGGTGACTGTGACTTCTCGGCAGTTTTCAGTCTTCTGCTGGACCTTTGCTTAAGTCCTCTTGCGTTTCTCTTCCAGGGAGCCATGGCCTGGCGTGGCAGGCATGTGGTCCTCAACTCCAGGCGGTGAGCTCTGTGACAGGAGCGCGGCTCTCTGCGTACCGTTTCCAGGGAGCAAATAAACAGCCTCCCACTGTGCGTGTGGTAAAGGAGTTTTCCTGGCAGAAGAGAACTGGGCTGCTGGTTGGCTTGGAAGAAGCAGAGGGAAGCGTTCTCTGTCTGTACGACCTTGGAATATCAAGAGTGGTTAAAGGCGTGGCTCTTCCAGGAAGGGTACGTGCTTTTTAATTGGAGAAACGAAGCTTTTATGTTGTTAGGTGCTGCACGATCCTGTTTCCGGAAAAGCTTTGGAGCGTCTCTTTGCAGGAGGTATTTTTTCTGTATTGCGTTAGCATTCTGTCGCTTCAGAGTATCCAGTCAAGGCAGCCTTGATCCTGGGCCTAACGGTACCATTATCTTTGGAGTTGACTGATCGTAAGGTAAGTTTTGTGGTTTTACTGCAGAGCACATAGTTACCTAACTCTCCGCTTCCACAAAAAAGGGCATTGAAAACTATGCTTTTTGGGGCAGAGTGAAAAGGGAAACCCCCCCAGTCTTTAAAGTCTCTGTAGCATACATTTCCTGAATGGTTTATTCTGTCAGAAATACTGTCTTTAACATATCTCAGAGGTCTGTAGTTGTGCTGTAAATGACTTAGACCCAGTCCCATGAGTCTCAGACAAGCAAGCCGGTGACTTCAGAGCAGAACAGATTCTTTCTGTTGCCTTAGGTTAGAAAAAAGAGCCTTTAGTAAGTTATCTGACAGACTGTTGAAAGATCAACTTTCCGTGTGTGGCCCTTGAACCTCTGATTATTGAAATTGTGTTTGTGTGGAGGGGATACAGTGTTGTGATGTTGCCAATTTTTTCTGTCTTGTATAAGCCCTGGGCTCAAATGATGTGATGACCCCTAGTCTCATTGTCTTAATGCAAACAAGAATCAGCGTAAGTTAATTGAACATCAAGGTGCATTCTGGTTTTATCCTCCCAGAATCTGCAACAAGTAAATACTTCTTTCTTACCCAGCTTTCCGTAAAGTGATTTGGCTTGACTTGCTAGAACACGGGTGGCATTTTGCTTGTTTGTTTGTAATGCTACAGTGTGATTACTAGTAGTAAGCATTTGTACTGTGGTAATTTCAGAAGATAGGAGTTGGGTTGCCGCTCCACTGTGTTAGTTTGCCTATCACCTTGAGAAATCCCGGAGTTTCAGACGGAAGGGCATGCTGTGTGCTGACATCAGCATATAATCAGTAAGCAAATGACATTTGTGGAAAATGACATTGCTTTTTATAGTTTTATTTGTTAAATCTAAGTGAACTGGGAATAGGAGAAGGAAAGGTTAAGAAGGACCATGTCACCTACCGCCTCTGTGTCTACAGAAGTGACTTGAGGTCGAATGTAGTTCTCGGTTGTATTAGGGAGTTTTTCTATAGCACGAAGAAATGCCTCAGGAGAAAATGTGAAGAAACGTTGTGGGGGAAAAGTTGGCTGTTGTGTGATGAAGGTTGTGGATTTCGGAATAAAGTCACAGCTTATTTGAGTGTTTGCTCTTACACCCTAGTGCTCTGGATTATAAGCATGTTTGGTCTGTTGCTTTCATTTTGCTTCCTATCTTTTTGCGACTAGATGAGGCAGACGGGCATAGACAGGGCAGAGGTATTGCCAGTTGGACTGTTAGCTTTGAAGTTGTGAGTGTGGGAGTAAGGGTAAGCAAAACCAAGTAGATAAAACTTGTACTTGGCCACGGTCCATAGGTTTTGAATTTCTTCGGTAACTCGTACTTCCAAATTATAAGTTACGTCATACGCGTTTTGAGTCTGCTGGAATGTTTCTCTGGTCTTCACGCTGATGATCTTTAAACGTAAAATGCAGATCTGTTCTTAACATCACCTTCCACAGTACTAACAGTCGTTACTGTTTTAAGGCTTTAATGAGCACCTTTGTTTCTGGACTCTTTTCCACGTGGGTATATCTTCTGTGGACAGCTAAGCTGTAGAGTTTAACACTAGCTTAGAGTAACTGTGGTCCAAGGTGTGAAGCCCTTAGTGTTTTAATACAGGGTATTTATAGTGACCGTATAACTGCCTTCTGGAGTAAGAGTAGGTGTGTAGTCACTCAGAGAATTAAAAAAACAAACTCTCAAGCTTCGACAGAATATTGGTGTAATTCTGTGTGTGTGTGTGTGAGCATCTCTCACTGCCCTCTGGATATACACGTGAAGCACAGCAGAAAACTCAGAGTGTCAGTGGAGTATTATTTGAATGGGATTCTTGGAAAAGCGAATCTGAATGTAAGGCATTAATTATCTAAAATTGGTTTATAATGGTTGCATGTTTCAGAACTATTGAACGGTATTTTGACAAATGTTCCTGGTCTATAGGCTTCTTCCGTAGCTGGAGTTAGCTTTTTATCCCACAAGCTGCTGTTCTTTTTGCTGCTGTTTTAGTCTGGCCTTTCAAATTTTTGTTCCCATTCACAAAAGTGCTGGTGTGCATGGAAAACTTTTTAGTTTATCTGGTTGTTACCTTTACCCTCCATGAGGACGAGCGTAAATTTTACTGAGCCAGTATCTCCCTTGAACACTGTGTAAAAATGTGTAATTCCCATGCAGATGGTGCGTCTACCATGCGACTTGACCGCTGCCTCGTGTGACTTACAGCCATGATTTATCGTAATACCTGTTTGGCAAAGGAGGTGTAGCCGGTGTCCCAGTGCCGATGGGCTGTGAGCAGTGGGAGAAGGCGATTTAGTTTTGTCTGTCTTCCTTCGGTCCCTTAATTACGGTCAAGTTTCTTGCATACGTCTGATTTTCTGTGTTTTCTTAGACTTAATTATTTCCAGGTAGCAAAGGGAGGTTGGTGAGCTGTAATAACAGAATGCGCCATGTGAGCGGAAGGTAATTCCGTTAAGTAACTGCGGGAGATCTAGTGAATGGGAAGAAGTACCAGGTGTTTGTAGAGGGCTTTATTTTATTATTATTATTTTTTCTTGATAAAATTGGATATTGTCTGTAAGCCTAATGATCCTGTATTTACCTTCTTGTTTCTGATGTGCTAATTCTGGTTTCACCTTCGAATGATTTCCGTTTAGCTTGTCAAGCAGCTTAAATACTGACTTGCACTCTCCCTGTAGGTAACTGCTGTAGAGCTCATAACTAATCACGGAGGCATCACCAGTGCGAGCGCTCGGCACCTACATCCGAGCCTGCAATGGCTCTTTGGCGTGGCAGCAGTGGCTACAGATGTTGGCCACCTACTTCTGGTTGACCTTTGCTTGGATAATTTATCTTGCAGTCAGAATGAAAGAGAAGCATCGGGTAAGCGTGCGCTTTTTAAACTTGAATTTAAAAGGAAGAAACCTGGTGTCTTTTTAACAAACAGTATGCGTGCCACTTTGCAGATACTCGTGTGCAGACATTGATGAGTGCTGATTACAGGTGGCAGTTTGACATCACCTAGTCCTGAACTGATGAAAAATGGGAGTGGCCCAGTGCTCCCGCTAATGCTGTAAACGACCCCCTCCCACCACGATCCCCATGTCCCCGTGATTCTTGCCGGTGAGCTGTAGGGATTTCACCGTCTGAGTCGGTGCAGCTGCCTGGCAGGAAGTTGTGCCGGAGGTGCCCTATTTCTTGGGAACGTTGTTCTGCTTCTCTTAGCTGACTTGGGGCAGATCTTAAGCTTGCTTTTTGAAACAAATCCGACTTTCCAAAATTCATGCATGTGGGTGAATGAGATCTCCGGTTGGTGTATTCAGATGGCATACGCTGTTCCAGCTAATACAGCAGTGGCTTTGGGAGTTGATGGCACTTCAGATAGCTTCACCGTGAAGCCCCAACTCCTGATTTCCAAAGTCCAAGCCGAATTTGTCGCTGAAGGTTACGCTTTTACCTGGTTTTGCCATACGAGGGAGAATACCCGTCCGATCGGAGAGTTCTTATGTTCTCTGAATACACAGAAGACGGCAGTAGCAAAAGAAGCGTTGCATAAATGGGTATTTTGCCTGGGCTGGTAGAATCAGGTTACCCGTGTAGTCACGTCAGTGTTGAAAATGCAACGTGAATGGCATAACACATTCATTCCTTGTGTGGTTTTGTGTGTGTAGATCTGGAAGTTGCCAGTGGAATTCCTGTGGGAGTTCCAAAGAGAAGAAAAACTGTGGCCAGAGAAGGGAGACATCTCTGTTTTCAATTACAAAATCCTTCGGGAACAGCAGTATCAACCCTGAGCTACATAAGCAGAAGCAATCATCTCGTCGTGGGTTTTTCCGATGGCTACCTGTTGTCGGGGGCAGCCTGGTCTCTCCTTCTAGCAGCGAGACAGAGCTGATTAGGAAGGACGTGCTCAACTTGGCGTCTCGTAACTTGCACAATCTGTAAACAGACTGTCACAACCCTGAAGCCAAGGACGATTTATTCCTGGAGGGCTGGTTTCGTAACTAAAGATAAGCTTGTGCTATAGAAACAAGATGTAGGAGTAGAAGTTAAACAAGAGGAAGAATGCTGTGAGCTAGCAGAAAATTAACTGCAGAAAAAGTCAAGCTGACCTTAGACATTAGCCAATTATGAGCTCAATTTTTGCAATATGTATTAGGTGATTAACCATTGTGCCAATCAGCTTAAAACACACGTCTCTCTTTGTCTGTTTGGAATATAAAAGCGGTTGTTGTGTTCAATAAAGTGGATCCTGCCTTGCATCGAGCTGGGTCTCCGTCTCTCAATCGCGGCAAATTGGTGACCCCGACGTGATTCGGGATTAAGAACCACCTATCTGCGTGGCATGCTGCGAGTCCCACAGAACTTTGAATGAGCTGCTGAAAGGAAGCAGGAGCCGGCATTAAGAATCCCTCCGGAGTTGTGAGGTGAGCTGTGGGAAACATGGGAAGTCAAGTCTCTTCCCCAGAGAGGGACGTGTACGAACTTATGAAAGCCCTTCTTAAAGAGCATGAAAAGAATCTCTCTGGGCAAGATCTTAAGGCTATGCTCAAGTGGGTACAAGTGAAAATCCCCACTGTAACTGCTTGCAGTATATTTACGACTGAGCTTTGGGATGACGTGGGGGTTAAGCTGTGGGACGCGGCTACAACAGGGAATGCTGAAGCACAGCGCATGCTCCCGTGGTGGAGGACTATCTTTGAAACTCTGAAGGCTCAGAAGACTGTTAAGAATAAAGACACTAAAGACAGGAAAGGTCTCCCGGTCGATAAGAAGACCTCGGAGCCTCTTGAGGTGGGTGCCGCCGAGTACCCCCCAGAGGATTATCCTTTTGATCCAGGACCAGTGGACCCAGAGGAGGAGCCAGATCTCTACCCTCCCGATCCCCAGGACGTATGGGCAAATATTAAACGACAAGCCTTAGAGCGCCAGATAGATAATGTGGAAGCGCGGGGGTGGTGGCGGCAGCGAAATGGCGGCGGCGGCGGCGGCGGTCGGGCGCGCAGTGCCGGCGTGGCGGCGGCGGCTGCTGTGCCTCTGTGTGTGCGCCGCGCTGCTGCTGCCGGCGGCGCGGGGCCTCACCGAGGGGCTGTACTGCGGCCGCCGGGTGTGCTACGAGGTGCTGGGCGTCAGCCGGCAGGCCAGCAAGGCGGAGATCGCCCGCGCCTACCGGCAGCTGGCCCGCAAGTACCACCCCGACCGCTACCGCGGGGAGCCGGCCGCGCTGGGCGGCGGCCCGCAGGCGGCACACGAGAAGTTCCTCGTCATCGCCACCGCCTACGAGACGCTCAAGGTGAGAGAGCGGGGACCGCCGCCGCGGCCGGAGCCGCTCCGGATGAAGAAATGCGCAAAGATTATGACTACATGTTGGATCATCCTGAAGAGTATTACAGGCATTATTATCACTACTACAGCAGGAGATTGGCACCGAAAGTGGATGTCAGAATAGTGATTCTGGTTACGGTGATCTCCCAGGCTAAATGGCCCCCACAATGGCCTCTGGCTAATGTTTCTCAGACCTTAGCAGGGATTGGGGGTGCTGGAAATAGTCACCAGAGCCTAGAGCTCATTCAGATACTGGGCCCGGAGGGGCATGTAGCCTCTGTTAAGCCCTTTGTGCTACCTGTGCCTATGATCTTATGGGGACGTGATGTACTGTCACAATGGGGAATGGCTATTCAAACGCATTTTTAGGAGGGGCCATTGAGGTGCGCGACACCCTGAAATTAACCTGGAAAACTAATACCCCTGTCTGGGTGGATCAATGGCCCCTGCCGCTAGAAAAGCTTCGCGCCCTGAAAGAATTAGTTGATGAACAGTTATCCAAAAGACATGTTGTGCCCTCTGTAAGCCCCTGGAATTCACCTGTTTTTGTGATTAAAAAACAAACTGGCAAGTGGCGCTTGCTCCATGACCTCAGAAAAATTAATGACGCTATGGAAGACATGGGGGCCCTGCAACCAGGGCTCCCTTCTCCCACAATGATCCCCCGGGACTGGTCTCTGACAGTCATTGACCTCAAGGACTGCTTTTTTAATATCCCTTTGCATCCAGAAGATTCTCCTAAATTTGCTTTTTCAGTTCCAAGCGTCAACATGCAAGCTCCATTGCAGAGATATCAGTGGGTTGTGCTACCACAAGGAATGAAAAACAGTCCCACAATATGCCAATGGTATGTAGCCAAGGTCCTTAGCCCTGTTAGAACAAAGATGCCCTGCGTTTTATTGTACCATTATATGGATGATATTCTAGTGGCAGCACAACATCACGAAGTCATGGAGGAAGCTGTAGCCCTTGTCATAACTGCTGTTAATTCAGCAGGTCTTTGTGTTGCGCCGGAAAAGGTTCAGAAAATACCACCATGGAAATATCTAGGCTGGCGCATACGGGCTCAAACTATAGTCCCACAGCCTTTACTAATTCAAGCAGATGTGAGGACTTTGCATGATGTGCAGAAGTTGTTGGGAACAATTAATTGGGTCCGACCTTTGCTAGGAATTTCCAATGCAGATTTAAGTCCTTTATTCGACCTGCTTAAGGGGAGCACAGACTTATGTTCCCCTCGCGCTCTCAACCCTGCAGCTGTTGATTCCTTACAAAAAGTTGCTACAGCTATTACCTTAAGACAGGCACATCGATATGCCCCTGAGTTACCTTTCCTTTTAATCATTTTGAATCCTGCTCGACAGCCTCATGCCTTGATATTTCAATGGGACTTGCAGGAGTCTGACCCGTTGCTTATCATTGAATGGGTATTTTTACCGAATCAACCCACGAAAACCATCTCAACACAGCATGAAATGTTTGCATCCTTGATTGTCCGTGCCAGGCGGCGCTTGTTAATGTTGTCTGGAATGGACTTCACTTGTATTTATTTGCCTATGGTCAGTGATTATTTGCAGTGGCTTCACCAACAATCGGAAGCCTTCAGTATAGCGATAGCTGGTTATACAGGCCAACTCACTTCTCACCCACCTTCTCATAAATTGTTTAATGCTAATTTCCAGCTTGTACCTAGACCAAAGAGGAGTGACCAGCCTTTGCAAGCTCTTACTGTTTTTACAGATGGATCTGGGAAGTCCCACAAATCTGTTATCCTCTGGTGGGACGACCAGCGCAAACAATGGGAATCGGATATAAAGACAGTGCCGGGTTCCCCCCAAATCGTGGAACTGACTGCCGTCGTCCGAGCCTTTAGAAAATGGTCTACACCGCTTAATATCATCACTGATTCAGCTTATGTTGCAGGGATTGTTGAACGAGCTGAGGCGTCTGTGTTACGAAATGTCTCACATTTTGCATTATTTGCTTTGTTACAGGAGCTTATTTTTCTTTTAGATTCTCGCATTCATTCCTATTTCATTATGCATGTCAGATCTCACACTTCCTTGCCTGGCTTTATAGCGGAAGGGAACCGGCAAGCTGACCTGCTTACATTACCGGTACAGGTACTGCCAGACCGCATAGCACAAGCAAAACTTAGCCACGCTTTCTTTCACCAAAATGCTGGTGGGCTTAAGCGACAATTTGGCCTTACTACTCAGCAGGCAACCAGTATAGTTGCTGTGTGTCCCGATTGTCAAAGGCACTCATTTCCTACAATAGCAGGAGGAGTTAATCCTAGAGGATTGCAAAGTTTGCAACTTTGGCAAACCGACGTCACTCATTTTTCGGAGTTTGGTCACTTAAAATATATTCACTCCTCTATTGATACCTTTTCTGGGGCATTATTTGCCTCTTGTCATACTGGCGAAAAGGCGCGCGATGTTCAACGACATCTGCTGCGTGCTTTTGCCACTTTAGGCATACCTTCTCAAATTAAAACTGACAATGGCCCTGCATATATTTCAACTGCAATTAAAAAGTTTTTGAGTTCTTGGGGGATCAACCACATTACGGGTATCCCTCATTCCCCCACGGGCCAATCCTTAATTGAACGCTCTCATCAGTCTCTAAAACGCTTATTGCAACAACAAAAAGGGGGAGTAGGGACCGTTACCCCCGAGGAACGTCTTCAGAAAGCTTTATATGTTTTTAATTTTCTGAATTGTTCTTTGATAGACAGTAATCCTCCCATAGTCCGTCATTTTAATACGAATGCTTCGCTTGAACTGCAAATCAAGCCGCCCGTGCTGATCCGAGATCCAGAAACAGGTACAGTCATGGGACCTTATCCCCTTATTACATGGGGTAGAGGTTATGCTTGTGTTTCTACAGAGAAGGGGCCTAGATGGATTCCCGCGAAGAGCGTACGACCTTTTCGTGAACCCCTGCCACAACCAACTGGAGAGGGACCGGAGTGCTCCAATCAGAATTTTGGACAGCAGACAGAAGAACTGCCCGGAAACATCACAACTGAAGAAGGAATTACATGAATAAGTATTGAGAACTGTCCATTGCAGAAATTACCTGTGGTTCATGTGAAAACTGTGACCCTTGGATTTTGTGTGAATGTTATACTTGTGCGAAAAAGTGGATTTTTGGTCTTTCAGTCAACGTTTTGCAGCCTCATTGTTCCTGCCCGGAGCTGCTGCTGGCAGAGCTTTAGCAACTCTAGACAAACTAGGCTGCTGGCTTGCAAAACAAACTAACGCTACAAGTCAGGCACTGTCTGGTCTCTTATTAGATGTGGATAGCGTTCGCCATGCTACATTACAAAATAGGGCCGCTATAGATTTTTTGCTTTTAGCTCAAGGTCATGGTTGTGAGGATTTTGACGGTATGTGTTGTATGAATCTTTCAGATCATTCTGAGTCAATTCACGCTAGTATACAGCAACTCAAAGAGGGGGTTTCCAAACTTCACCAAGAAGATAGTTGGGATTGGCTGGATAAACTGTTTGGAGGCTGGGGCCTATCAGGATGGTTGAGAAGCCTTGTAAAAATGATTGTGTATGCTTTAGTCGTTTTCATTTTTTTGTTACTTTGTTTACCCTGTTTTTTGCAGTGTGTGCAGAACCTGATAGCCAGCTCAGTGAAAAGGATCCTTGTTGTGCAACAAGAAGGGGGAGATGTCGGGGGCAGCCTGGTCTCTCCTTCTAGCAGCGAGACAGAGCTGATTAGGAAGGACGTGCTCAACTTGGCGTCTCGTAACTTGCACAATCTGTAAACAGACTGTCACAACCCTGAAGCCAAGGACGATTTATTCCTGGAGGGCTGGTTTCGTAACTAAAGATAAGCTTGTGCTATAGAAACAAGATGTAGGAGTAGAAGTTAAACAAGAGGAAGAATGCTGTGAGCTAGCAGAAAATTAACTGCAGAAAAAGTCAAGCTGACCTTAGACATTAGCCAATTATGAGCTCAATTTTTGCAATATGTATTAGGTGATTAACCATTGTGCCAATCAGCTTAAAACACACGTCTCTCTTTGTCTGTTTGGAATATAAAAGCGGTTGTTGTGTTCAATAAAGTGGATCCTGCCTTGCATCGAGCTGGGTCTCCGTCTCTCAATCGCGGCAACCTGTCACTGTGGAACATGAAAACGTTGAAGAGGGAGTAAGTAGGCCTTTACACTTGGCTGTGCCTGGCGGTGCACCGGTCTCCATGTTTTGCCTAAGGAAGGACGTTAATTACAAGAGAACTGTTTCCGGGACTGAAATTTTGCATGTAATCTTGGAAGAATGCTCAGAAATCCTCTTCTGACAGAGCTGTGAAGTCACACAAGGCCCGAGCGGACCGCCTTCTCCCCAGTGGACCGGGATTGTTTTCCTTACTGTGCCTGTGGATTGAGGCATTGTGGAAAGCGTGCTTCTTTGGGTTATGGCAAGCAGTTAGGACGTGATAGAGCTGATTTTTATCAGACAGTTTCTTCTTTCGGTGGCATTTGGTGAAACCAGGAAATGTGTGTATTTCGATGAAACAGATCTTAGAAATGCTTTTTCTGAAGAAGTTACTGCAATTAGGGCATGCATTGAAAGGCATAATTATGTTGCTAGTGTGATTTTGGTGGTGATATTCTTTAAAGTGTCCCGGATGATACTAGTGAGACATGAAGAATCAATAGCTGGTCTGTGCCTGAAAACATATTCTTTCTTACGTGTCAGCCTCGACCGAAACAGGGGAGTGAGCCATTCTGAGGCAGCAATGCACGTGAATGAGAGTTTGCGTGGAACACTTGGAGATGAGAATAAGGGACATGTGAACTCACGAGGAATAGAAAAATTAAGAGATGATTTTAAATCTGCCAGAGAGCAATCTCGCTCGAAATATTTGTCCAAATTCGGGTAGGGATTCACTTCAGCAAATCTGCAGTGCCTCTCCGGAAACTGTTGGATGCCTAAATAGACAGTGGAGGGATAATTAGACGGCAAGAAGCGACTGTGAAGGTACAGATAAGGTTCAGAAGTCTGGAAGAAAGGGGCTTTACGTAGTCCAAGTAAAGAAACGAGGAACTACTTCTGTTTGGCACTGGTTTACATTTGTTCAGAAGATACGCTGCGTTTTAAGTTCAATCTTGAAGTAGGCTACAGCAGCCAGAACAGTCATTTGCCTGGCAGCTGCAGTAATCGTCTGTGTTCCTCCCCCTCAGGCAGAGAAGGGCATAAACCCAGGCTGTTCCATTGGATGGACAGTAATTTCCTCACCCTTTGACAGTTGCATAAAAAGTAGTTGCTTCCTTGACTCACTTGTTTGAGAGGGAATTATGACCTCTGTACTTTGAGGATAAGCACAGAAGGTGCTCTTTTCTCAGGAGATGCTTCTAGCCCTCTACAAACTGTTAGGGCCAGTAGGATCACCTCTTAATTTCTTTTCTTTTCTTTTTCTTTTAAATTTCTTTAAACCTGTAGGGACCACTCTCAGCTTGCAGGAGGAAGGATTCCTGTCTATGCTGTCACTTTTCAAGAGCCTGAAAAGGATCCTCGCAACTGTTGCTACTTGTGGGCTGTTCAGTCTACCCAAGAAAGGTGAATAAACACTTACTATAAGCCACTGATTATTTTTTTTTTTTCAATATTTGTCCGCATACAGTTGATATATACGTGCATATATGTTTCGTTTGTTCAGCTGTGCAGACGATTCTCTCAGGTACGGAAGCCGTTAAGCTTATAATGCAACCTTGTCAGGATTTAGCAGAAGTGAAGAGGGACCTACTGGTTCCTGCCTCCCGAAAGGAGGCAAAGCAACAGCGGCTGTATTGTTGTGCTCGCTTTCTTAAACGCTTACTTTGTTTCTTGATGACTGCTTCATGATTTCTTTGATATTCGCACCGTGGTATGAAACTGCCGCTGAAAGGAGCCGAGGCTGCAGACCTGGAACACTAAACGTGCCGCTACCGCAGCCTGCTGCCCCGGAAGGAGGGAGGTGACAGTATTGCCTGTCACCTCGTGCCAGCTTCAGCAGCCTCTGGAGCCTTCACGAGCCGGTTCAGCTCACCTGGCACAAAACGCTCACTGTTGAGCAGAGAGGGCGATGGTTTCCTGCCGGGCTAATGAATCAGATCAGAAGGTGGAAGGGTGCAGCGTATGCAAGAGAGGGACGGGAAGTTTGGTGGGGAGGGGAGGGGAGGGGAGAAAGAAAGACCTCTCTCTTTCAGCATCAGCAAGCTACTTGATCAGCCCAGCTGTCCAGAGAGTGTCTATCTTTTTGGGTGTGACTGTAAAGCAGTTTTGCTGGAGAACGCTTCACGGTGAAGAACCGTTTCCAAGAAACGTTAGTCCATACAGCATATTAAAGCTTTCAGACTGCATGGTTGGCATTTGTCCCCAAAGCTGTTAGTGCCAGCATTTCCTCCTTTGTGTTTTAGCCGCTAAATGTGACCGGTTGTCATGTTTTGGGCAGTGGGTTTTTCTTTTCAGCAAGAGCATGCTATTAAGAAGGCTTTGGTCTAGCTCTGATGAGGTGATGACAAGGACTATAAAGCAGCTTTGTAATCACATGTCATAATTTGTACCTTTTTCAGTGAAGGTGACGCTGTGAGTTTACATCTGTTGCAGTTACTATTTCATGAGAGAAAACGCCTGGCATCAGGACAGGTCATGTACGAGGTAAGACGTGCACGTATGTCAAAAGCTGAAAACAGTAATTTCCTCTTCGTGAGTAGCAGTTGAGTTGGCTGGGCTAATACTTGCCGTCAAAACTCAGAGCTGACTAAAAAAAAAATGTTTTGCCGAGTCTTCTTGGGCGTGGCCTTTGTCCGTACTTCTTGAGAACAAGTCATACAACTTCACACTGCAGTGTCGTGTGTTCCAACTAGATTCGTCTGCAAAGAGCCCATATACATGCAACTCCCGAAGAGGCAGCAGCTTTTCCAAATAAAATTCTTCTTAACTGAAGATGTGAGTAGCACCAGATTTCACCTCAGAGAGCTGAGGTCCTTCAGCAGCCTTTAAGAATGGGTCTACTAGAAATTCTGCTTGGCACCGTTTTTAAAAAAGCACACCAAAGGATTGAATAATGTTGTTGTGTTTGTGACCTGAGAAAGCTGTGGTGTAATTACTGTAAGACTTCCTGACCCTCTGCAGACTGTCCAATCAGTAGTACATTCACAGGCTTCCAGCAGGTGTCAGGCACCAGTCTCTGGGTTTGAGATATTTTACTCCCTCTGCTTCCCTGTGCTGAGTGCTGTGGAAGATTGAAACAGGAACCAATCTCGGGAGGGAGTTGAAGAAGGAACTAAACAGCTGGAGCCTCCGGGGAGAAAAGATGGGTTCTTCAGCTCGCTTCCAGATGAGCCGTGTAGCTTCGTACTGAGACCTGATGATACCTACTGCCCCCCAAAACAACTCCCAAGCCCCCCTCCCCAAACCCCAAAGATGCATTAAGCCAGGCCCTGTGCTCGACGGTGGACACTTTCAGTCTCAGAATACTTCCTTGTAGTCAGAGATTGGTCAGTACCACATGGCTCTCTGCCTATATGACTGGCTGAGTCAAGATCCTTGTCCATCTTCCATGGCAGAAAGTGTAAGAGTTGTTCCCGATTGCCAGGCCAAGTTTGAGTAAACAAAGAGGAAGCTAGCGTTGACCCTCGTTCATTGAATAGAATTCAGAGGAAGTTGAAAGACTTGTGTCTACTACAGCAGTGCTTTACTTTCCAGGAATCAGACTTGAGGCTATGAGACAGTGCAACTGACTTCTTACCATGGTAAAAAGTCACAAATAGGAGTTTTGGAACATGTGGCACTGTAGTTTTGTAAATAAGCATCAGAGTTGTGTCTCCACTGCCTTCAGGGCTGGTTTAAGCCTGTGCTCAAGCAATTAATGTAACGGAATGTTGAAGTTATGCTTACAAAGATCATTTTTATGCCATCTCGGGAGTTGGTAAATCTAGTGCCCCCAGGCGTGGCCATGCAGCACATCTTGGCCCTTGTCCTACACAGTGCCTGCGGCTGGACAGAGTATAGAGGCTCTGCTTTCATATCCGAGTCTGACCAGCGCATCTCGTTTGAAAACTGTCCTTGTAGTTTACTGGTCCACAAAGTAATTACTTAACACCTTCCATACAGCGGAGTTGCTCAGCTTAGATTTGCTTGCCCCAGTGGAAAATGTAAAATACAGTGGTTTGCTTCAGAAGGTGTCTCAGGCAGGAACTGGTATCTTCTTTCCCTTCCCCTCTGCCCCAACTCTGTGGCTGTTCATAGATGAATAAGAGAGGAAATTGATAGCCGTTCAAATTAATCTCCAAAAGGCTTATGGAGTTTGAGGACTTTATCTGATGCAACGGTCTTTTGGAATGATGGACTTCTCATTCTGGACAACATCATTTATTATAAACTGGTTTTAGTGATCGTTCCTTCTGTAATGAAAACGGGATCGGTTGCTTGGGCTTCATGCTAGTTTTTCAAAGAGGTGGTTTTGGCTTCTCTACTCTGCACGTGTCTGGTGGTGTCTGTTATTGCAGAAGTTACTTGATAAAATAGAATGAACTGTGCGTGCTTCAGAGCATAATTCAGCATTTTTCTTTTCAGTAATGAAAGACCCTTTTTTTTTTTTTTTTTTAAAGCCAGCCTTGATACTTATTAGTAGTATTTCCTAGAACGGTTAAGAGGAGGTTTGTCTCTTCTCAGATTAGGTGATTTAGGTGTATCATATCAAATCCTATGGGAGTGTACTGTGTCGTACCAGTTCATTTTAGAGCTCTGAAAGTTTAGGAAACTTCGGTAGAGTGTGGTACAATTGATTGTTGTGTTGGTTTTTCCTTGGTGGTAGTATTTTGTGTGTTAGGTGGGAGGGGGTGTTGGTGAGTTGTTTTTTTGTTTTTGTTTTTGTTTTTGTTTTAAATTGTAGAGCTGCTATTTGTCAATACACACAATGATGTGTTGCATGGTAGACAGCCTGAACAAATTCTGTATTTGGAAAGACAGTATTTCAATTAATGCTTCCCTAGGAAAAGGTGGTATCAGAGGTTCAGCACAATCCTGCTGGGGTTTCGGTATATCTCAAAGTAGTTTGCTGGCTCTGTAGTAATTCATGATCCTAAACGCCTTGGCCGCGTGCCTCCCACATCCTCTCTGCTTCCCCTTTTGCTGGTGGCCGTGCTTGATGAAGGAACCGGGGGATATTTCACCCATTAGTGTGACAAGATTAGAGGAGGAGCTGGTAAAAGCTTATGTGGTTTGAAAGGAGACGGTTACTCGGTAAGAAGTCCTCACAGCTACTACAGAGGGATGTGTTTTCGCTCTGGTGGTGTGCCAGTAGATAACACCTCTTGACAGAGCTTCAGCTGCTGTAGTGCCAAGACTTCTCTAACATCCTCAGTCCTGTAATCAAGAGCAAAGAGCTTTGCATGCGTATGTATCGCCTGATTTCAGATACCTCTTTGTAGATCTGTCCTCCGGTTTGTAAAGAAACCCTGGTGTTGCAAGGATTTCTGCAAAACATGATTAGAACCGAATAATGATAGGGGAATGCTAAATTTTGAAAATGTGCAAAGCCTTTACAGCCAAAGATACCCCTTAGGATTTGACGCTTGATTCTCTTGCGTGCCAGATGTTGTTTCTGTTTGCCATCAGAAAGAAGCTCATGGGAAATACACAGTATAAGGTGCATATTATGTTACATTCTGGTACATAGATTCTTTCATATCGCCAAAGTGACCTTTTGTCTCTCCTTTTTTCCCCAGGGTTTGGAATACTGTGACGAAAGGTTCAGTTTAGATCTCACGTGTGGAGTCTTTCCCTGGAGAGGGCCGACCGGCAATACCAAATTTCTGAGCTGCCAGACTGTAGAAAAATTTCCCAAGCCGGTTGACGGAGAGGATAGCGTTAATGAAGGTTTGTTCTGATGTCCGTGCTTGGTTATTCTAAAAAAGTAGTTTGGGAATCTAAGCAGTGAATGTTGTTCTGTACCCACAGAAAGTCAGAAAGTCTTGAGTATCTGTAGAGACGAGCTTGTTGGGCTTATTTAAATAGACAAAAGGGTTGCTTGAGTTTTGTGGGACTTCCTTAAGGGGGAAATTGGGGTTTATTTTGTGCTTGCTGACATGCTATAGCACTGTATAGTAGGGCCATCTCTGCAACGTTTGTCAGTCATTTTATTCCTCCAGCTGTCTTCTTGGAAAAAGAAGATCATTCTCTGCGTTGCTTAGGAATGTGATCTGAATATTTTTTTTTTCCCTGTTCACACCTATGTCTGTATCTGCACCCAGCTGGCGGCCACTCACAAGTGGTGTTCCCCAGGCCTCAGCATTGGGGCCAGTTCTGTTTAAGATCTGTATCAGCGATCTGGATGAGGGGATCGAGTGCACTTGGGTCACAACAACCCCACGCAACGCTACAGGCTTGGGGCAGAGTGGCTGGAGAGCTGCCCAGCGGGAAAGGACCTGGGGGTGTCGGTCGGCAGCCGGCTGAATGTGAGCCAGAGGTGTGCCCAGGTGGCCAAGGCGGCCAAGAGCATCCTGGCTTGTATCAGCAATAGTGTGGCCAGCAGGACTGGGGCAGTGACCGTCCCCCGGTACGCAGCCCCGGTGAGGCCGCACCTTGAAGTTGAAGGTTCTGGAGAACAAGTCTTAGGAGGAGCGACTGAGGGAGCAGGGGTTGTTTAGCCAGGAGAAAAGGAGGCTGAGGGGAGAGCTTGTCGCTCTCTACAGCTACTTGAAAGGAGGTGGGAGCAGGGTCGGGGTTGGTCTCTTCTCCCAGGTGTCATGGATGGGTATACTAACATGGTAATAGTTTGGCAGCAAATTGAGATTTATTAATGAGTAGCAGCACTTAATCATTAACCACCTGAATGATTTACAAAATAATTCAGTAAAATACGTTATGATTAAAATAGTGACTTAACTGTACAGATTCAAAAATGACAAGAATCGCAATGACTTACTGTGTGGTATCCTAAATCTATCTCTCCATCTCTCTATCTCTCTCTCTATCTCTCTCTCTCTATCCGTATACCTATCTGTCTGTCTATCTGTCTGTCTGTCTATCGATCTATCTACGTATCTATCTATCTATCTAAGTACATATGTTTATTCATAAACACAAGATGTACAAACACACAGACAGACAAAAATATTTGGATCCAGTGAAATATGTATGTACCCACACTCGTAAAAACAACTGTGTATACCCAAACACATAGATAAGTAGAGAGGCGGGTGAAGAAAAGCTAGCCTACGGTTAAAATTTCCCTCTTCTCAAGCTTAGAGCAAATACTTGCAAAGCATCATCATTCCTCAACAGCCAATAACTGAGACCCGAGGGGGGCGACTTTGCCCAGCCCATCATTGGCTTCGACAGCAGACGGTGCCTCGAGGAGTTGATAGCTGAGAGGCGTCCCAACTCAGGGGAGATGCTGGTCACAGGCCCACTGCGATCCAGGAGAAGAGCTCAGAGGGTCTCACCTGGGGTCACTGTTTATGGGCTCCAGGATAACTGACTTTCGTTAGGGACTTTTCCACTCCGGCCCAGCTCCCATGATGAGCTATTTGGGTGTTTTCCACCAGTTGCGCAGGCCCAGAACTTGCTGGATGCGCAGTGCTGTTATTGCCCTCCCTCGGCCACTTGCCAGGTACAGAGGTACTAGTCTGTCAGGAGGTGATGGACTGTTACTCCTGCTCCCAGGTGATAGGGAGAGCAGGATCCAGGATGCAGCGGTAGCTTTCCTTGACCATGTACACAGTTAAAACTCTTATGGTGTCTTTCATTATCTTGCAGTAATTAAATATACCTCTCTGGGTTTACAAATCCAGTTACGCTCTGACCATATCTTCGAGCCTGCTGCAGTGATAACTTGCATAGCCGTTTGTTTTGACTGCGTTAGTCACCTTCCCCCGCTTCTTACGGGCCTTGACTTCTGTCTGGTGTCACAAAGACACTTGCATGACCTTTCTAGGCTATTTCTGCTGATTGTCTTTGACTTAGTCCTGAAGCGGCAACTTCCGTGTCTTTTGTGATGCCATCCTCGAGCAACGGTGTGTCAAAATCTAATCAAAGCACCTTTGGATTTTCTCCACTTGTGCCATGTTTCTGAGAGGAGTGCCTTCTAAAAACCTGTTGGAAACAAAAAAGAACACCACTCCCCCAACACCCCCAAGAAAACCAAAAAAAACCCAAACGGCAACAAAAAAAACCCCTTTCTGCCTCCTTTTTCTGAAGTATGAGGCATGGAAAAAATACCTGTAACTTTTGTTTCTGTATTTGTTTTGTGTGATAATTGTGTTCTTTCGGTGCGGACATGCAGGAGAGGAGCTGTTCTGAAAATGTGTGGTTGAGACAAAGCTGGAAATTAGTAATGCTGGCTAAGTGATACAAGTGTATACGATGACTATTTGTGTGCTTTCTAAAAGAAGCAGTGTCTGTGTTCCTAGCATATTTTTTTTTTGCTCAGCTGTTCATCTAGCTAAATGTCTTGTTCAACTCTTAATGCGTGGCAAACTTAATAAGCTACTAATTATGTATCTGATTTGGCTTGGAACGGATACAATCCGAACAAGAAAAAGGGGCAGGATGCCTGGAACCTGTCACAGAGGTGTTTGCTACTCCGTGAATTGTTTTTCTTATTCTTAGTCAGTGTTGTTTTTGCATGAGTGGTAGAACAGAATTAAACCAAACTAGGAAGCGGTGCTTTAAAAATATCGGATACGGCATGTTTTCTACAAATAAGAAACAACGTCTTGTCTTTTACAGTAATATCTCCTGAGACCAGTGTATCAGTCTTCAGCTGGCAAGTGAATACGTATGGTGAGGGAAAGCCATCTACTTACTTGGGTGTATTTGACATTAACCGCTGGTATCACGCTCAAATGCCAGATTCACTGAGGTAGATTTTTCTTAGCTTCTTTTCAGTGTCCCCCCAGATAATTCATCTGAAAGTTGGCATTTAGCTTATGCACTTGTTTTCTTTAAGGCCGGAAGAACTCCTTCACGACTGCCCCTATTTTGCGCTGTGGTCACTGGATACTGGACTAAGTATGACTTCTCCAAGCCTCGTTTTGGATATTCGAGTACGTGAGCAGAGTCTCTGTCGCGGAGTGCCTCCTTCCTATCCACCACCTGATCAGTTTTTTAATCCAAGCTCCTATAATTTTGGTAGGTATTTCACTGCTTTTTATAGTGATAAGCTCAAACTGAGGTCAGATGACATGAAATAGTTCTCTTGTTCTCTGTCACTCGAAAACCAAACCCAAACCCCCAAACCCCCAGCTCCCACAAACCCAACTCAAATTACGTTGCACTAAGGTGGGATTTAAAATTGTGAAACACATCCGAGAGTGTGCTGAGTTTTGGGGTTTGGTGCTTTTATGATAGAGCCTGCGAAGAGGTGATGGTTATAAAATGAAATGACTTTGAACTGAAGCTCAAAGCACAGCACCTCGATTGCGCTAGAGATGAAAGTTCTAGACGCAGTAATTATTTTTTTAAAAAGTCTGTAAGTGATCTGGTGAGGAAGATGGGCACTGAGATCTGTCTTTCCAGATACTGCTGTTTAAAAACTGTAAACTGGTCATAACGTAACTGTGAGCGTATGGAAGCTTGTCAAATGTTGGTTGTTTCTGCAGATGGTACGTGCTTGCTGAACTCCGGAGTTGTCCATATGACTTGCACCAGCTTCCAGAAGGAGGTGATCATTTACCGAATCTTTATTGAGAATGTGAAGAGATGGACCTTTTCCAAGTTTTCTCCTGCACTGCTTTCACTGTCAGAGATGGGTTTATGCTCGTCCTGCCCATCCACACGCATAATTGCAGTTGTACCCTGCCAGTTTTATGCAAATGAGAATGTTTTCAGTCTGCTCTTGGAACTGTAAAGTGAGCACTGCCTCCTGATGAAGCGCGATCCGAGACTGAACGTCTAGAAGGGAATACAACGTTGCTCTAGGAGCAAGAACAAAAGCGTTCCTAAGAAGAAAGCTGTTTCTTCTCTATTACCCTTCAGTCGCACTGCCTGTGTAGTCTTGAGTTAGGGTTTTGATCCCTGGTCTGCTTGAAAAAGGAGGACAGAATGGAGAAAGTGAAAAACTGTGTTTGAGAAGTATTTGAGAAGAAATTTTTTTTTTTTTTTTCCCGACCCTGGCCAAATTCTAACTTCCAAGCCAGGGCACAGCTTGTGGCAAATAATTTTGAATTAAGTTTCAGCTCACTACGTATTGCCAACATAAATCAGCCTCTGCACAGAGAGGCTTATAAAGGCTCATGCAAAGCGTGATTTGAAGTTGTGTGTTAGTTTTAGCTTGTACAGAAAGTAATTTGTGTCAGTGTTCAGGGAAAAAGAAAGGCCCGTGTTTTGACAGAGAAGGGAGAAAATACTTAAGCATTGCAAGGGCCAATATTTTGTTTTACAGGATTTTTTTTAGAAACTGTAACTGCTAGTTTGGCTGCCGTCCTTACGACTCTACGTAGTAATGCTTACTCGGATTGCTAACGCAAAGCATATTGCTGATGTGAGCTTCCCGAGAGTCTAAGTGAACAATTATCCTATTTCTCTTAGTGGTTAGCCAGACCCTTAGTGACTGAATAATACTGCTGTCTTAATCTGTAGTTTTTGATTGACGTTTCAGACCTTGAATTTTTTGAAGAAATCTGGTCCTTTAATACGTGAAGCCATTCATGATAGCTGCAAGAGGTGTCTTGCAGCTGGCTGTCTGTCTCCCAGGCCAGCTGATGTCCAGCCACCCAGTTTGGGTCAGGTGTCTGCCTATGAGGGAATCAAGGGGGAAATACATCCATCTTGCCTGACAGGGCTGTAGAGGCTACAAGACGTGGTAACCTGATGTTCCCATTATTTGCGAGTTGCACTGAGCTGCAGGTGTTGGCTTTAGTCAGCAGAAGTGATAGTACTCTTAGATCCAAACTAGGGAGTTTGACGGGGAACAGCCCTGATAGGCCTGTCTCTAGAGACCCGTCTATAAATTCTGTGCCACAGATACGCGCAAGGAAGCGTGCAGGCCGTGCTGGTCATGCGCAACACAAAGCATCTTTGCCTCAGACCCCCCGTGGCCCCCGTCGGTGTCTCCGAGCGTTGGGCTCAGTGCAGCAGCTGACGACGGGGGGGTCTCACTGGGATGCGAGCTGTTGCAAACATCAGCTGGCTGCACCAGACATGATCACCTGCTCCCAAGGAAGTGGGCTGTGGTAAACAATTACTGCTGCCAGCTCCAGTACAGCCGGCACGTCGTCCCGTAACTTCATGAATGACTTGCTGCTGTTCTGTGCAGTGCACTCGCTGTAATTAGTTAACTGCTTTACGCTTTTTATTCATCAGAATGATCGCCATCCTCGCTTCAGAGAGGGGGCATGTGCCAGAAAGTCTGAATTACGCCCATATCGGAAGATCCTTCCTAGAGTTCAAAGGCAGCTGGCTGCAGAGAGAGCCAGGCCTTACCATTTGCCTTCGTCGGCCTTAAGAGGAGGTAATTTTTAGCACGGGGAATACAGCGGTCAAGAAACGCTCACTTTGATAACACAAGGCTGATAGGTTTTCCCTTGTGCTTTACAGTTGCGAGACCAAAGCCAGTATCAAGAGCAAGAAAACCAGCCAATTCAGGATATCTGGATATCATAGCAACTTTCATGAGTAATGTGTTATCCAGAATTGGAGCAGCATGGGCAGGAAATGAGCAGAAAACCTTTTCCTCACGATATGATAGGTAAGCAGCCTTTTCACAAAGTTCAGTTTTGAGCTACGTGTGTGGAGAGGAATAGCGAAAAATCCATTTGGATTATGTTAGTATTCTGGAAGGAAGGTGTACCTGAATAAACTTTGATTGGCTTTTTTGTAATCAGTTCATCCAAAGTAATATTTGGAGAGAGACTTTTTCGGCTATGATAATCTTATTTAGGCCAAGACCTATACTGACACGATGGTAAATGTGTTTTCAAGAATTTAAGACAGCTGAAACTAGAACTGTGGTTGCCACCAAGCTCTCGGTGTACTGCTTTTGAGACACTTGGTTATGTGGCCAAACAGGGATCTTTGACCGCTTCCTGCCCAGTGTCTGCTTCGTTTCTGCCTTTCCTTCTTAACATCGGGCGGAATTGTAACGAGCGGAAAAGAGGCTGGTGGTTGTCAGATGATTTTCCTTCAGGGGCGATGGTCAAATAAACCTGAATTCCGGTATGTTTGGACTTCAGGGGAGTGAAAGTCAGTTACCTTTCCCTGTTTGTTCTAGTGCTAGAGCTGCAGAGCCACCAGCCGTACCTCGTCCTCTCCCTGAGGCAGAGTTGCAGTGTGGTTTTTGGGACACTAGGGACACAAATATCAGTATATGTTGGGGGGGTTTTTTGTCTTCCCTTTACAAAAACCACCTGCATGTTATTGACTGTGAGGTTTTGTTGGCTTTTTTTTTTGTATTTTAATAAAGGTAACCAACGATGATATAGCACTGCCTGGGGATTCATGGGAGCATCATCATGGAATGGCGGAGGATGCATCGTCTGAGACTAGAGATAAGGCAACTGTGCTTACTCTGAGCAATCCTGAGGAGGATCGTGCTGAAGTGGAAGCGTTTTCAAAAAGCATACCTGGAGATGGTTTGGAGAAAATGGATGTCAGCAAAGAAAACAGCAACTTCTCTGCCCGTTCAGACCAAACTACTTTGGAGTATCACGATGCAAAATCACCTGGCGGTTTTTCATCTGTTCCCATGTGCCGAATCGCAAATAGCTTAGCTGTTGATTTCTGGTGGCGAAAAAACAAGCTACAGGCAGCAGCCAGCCCGTGTTTTCTCATGAGTTGATAGGCAGTGCTTTTCACCTCTTAGTCTAGGCCAATCTGAAAATACTATGAAATTGTAGACTCTCAAGTAAGAAGGTAGCAGTTTTTTCTTATTTTGTTGGTACTTTTGTCTTCTGTGCAAAACTTGCAGGTTTCCAATCCAGGAATGCTTTTTTTTTTCTCGGCAAAGTAGTCCAGGTAACGAGTCTCTTGGATGTGCTTGGAGATAAATGTTCTGTGGTTCCTGTTGAATTCAAGCCGTTCCTAAAATAAAATGTGTTTTTCAAAGCCCTCTGCCGTGTGGATGACCAGTATGCGAGGGAGAGGGAAAAATGCAAGTTACAGTTACCGACGTGTCCGTTGGTTCAGGTCGCTTCCTCCTTGGCTGTGTATCCCCTGGCATAGTTTAAGAGCAGGCTTATCCCACAGCAGTCCTTGCTGTGGTGTGCCTTGCTGTTCAACTTGGCTTAAATGCAGACAAAAGCAGGAGCTATCGCTGGGTGACCGATCGCTTGCCTTTTGGTGCTACAACCGTATTTTCAGTACACAGAGAAGGGTGCAGGGAAGTAGTGTGTGATTTCTGTGAGCACCAACAGCACAAGCATATGTGGCCCTCAGAATCCAGGGCGCTGGAAGGCCTTTACGTTTCATCTAGCCTAGTGGTCTCGTAGTGGCTTCCGAAAGGGCGAGAACGGTATGCTCGTCTCAGCCGGATCCAACAGCTATGCAGGCCAGGTAAGATTTTACTCAAAGAACCAACTACAAGCAGTTGTAGCTAATACACGGTCGTAGACTGCTCATTTAGTTTATCTCCCATTATTAACGTTCATGTAAGCGTACTGCAGGTGACTGGCACGGGTCGGTTTACTGGTTGGAAGCCTTACCTAGCTTTTGCCTACGCTCCCGTCATCCCGGAACTCGGTATTACTTTCAAGCACGTTTGCAAATCTTGATTCAACCTGTTAGTGGGGGCACGCGTCCCGGGCAGCAGTGCTTGTGTATGCGTTTGCTTGCTCATCTGTGAAGAGGATGCACTCGATCGTTGTTTAGAGCGAGGTGTTGTGTGATCTGGCCCAAGGAGCACTGGAGAACGCCTGGCAAGGTTATAACGCTGCTCTGCTGGCGTACGGGCAGGCCGGCTCGGGAAGAGCTGTTGGACGATCGGCTGCGCTGCAAACAGAGGCCCGGTGCCCGTTGTGTGCAAAGAGCTCTTCAAAGCCACCCAGCATTGGGAAAAGTACAAGCAGTGCCAGGTGGGATTAGCGCAAAGTGTCACTTCTTTCCAAGACCTTTCCAGGCGGTACTTTAAAAGGCTGGGTTACTCTCAAATCGGAAAAATGGGAACCGTGACTCTGGAGCAGCTTCCGGTACAAGACAGAGTGGATCCTCTAAAATACTGTGGGAAACAAAGTTGAGGTAGTACAGCTGGATTTACAGATGGGTATGCATGAGAAAGTCTTTCCAGCACCTCGGTAAGGAAAATTAATGCCGCCTTCTATACAGCTTCATAGGGTACAGAAGCTTTACAGTGCCGCGCCTCTCCGCTACAGCAGAGGCCAAGTTTTCAGCCATGCAGTACAGCTTTTGTAGCTGCTGGATGCTCCCACTCCATCAGCATCCTGCGCTGGTTGTCCAGCGGATTCGAGCACTGCTGGAAGCAGAAAGCTTCACGCCCGTGCAGCAGGGCCGTCTGTCTGTGAGAGTACTGCCCTGGTTACTGAGGGCTGCTTGCGATTTACTCCTGTGTTCCTTCCCCTTCAGAAAGTGCTTTGTCCTCCCAAACCAGCCTCCCCCGCTGTGTGCCAGCAGGAACGACGCAGGGATGCCGTTTGTGAACGTGTTTCTGTGGAAACTCATTCCTTCCCATCTCGCTTGCCGTACCAATGTGGAAATGAAATCCCTATCTGTAGTCGAGTGTTGGAGAATGGCTCAGAGACAAGGGTCCTGAGCCCACCGAGCAATTGTACGATCAGAGCCTGCTCTAGCTGCTGATGCTGGGCCTCACTAGGGTTTGCTTGCAGCTGCTCGCAGCTGCTGATACCTGAGGAATGTCAAGGACACTTCAGCCTTGTGTACCGTGGTGTGTCGAAAACAGGTTGAGAGGAATTAGGAATAGTGGTCTAAGAAACCTAGTGTTATGATAACGGTGGTCTGAGAAACATTGTGTTACGGTACTGTTGTGTATCGAAAACAAGTAAACAGGAATCAGAAATAGTAGCGTGAGAAACTTAGTGTTATGAGAAACTTGTGCTGTAAGCTAACTGCAAGTAGGTGGACCGTGAGAATACGACCCTTAGAGCTTAAGCCAATCAGCTAGTGACTAGTAGGCATAATTAGTAGAAGGATTATAAAAGGCTGTAATGAAAATCAATAAACTGAAGCACACTTTATCACTCATACTGAGTCGGCTACGTTCTTCCTCCTTGGCCTGAGTCCTCGGCTCGCCCAGCCCGGCAGTCGAGTTACTCCTATTACGCACAGTTCTTGGACAGAGGAAAAAAAGCATGTCGTGGCTCTTTATTTTTACGTTTGATTTTGAACCATAGCCTTGCTGCTACTGACTGACCAGATTTTGTTTTGAAGTCAGCAGATTGAGGCCTCCTCTCCGGCTTGTTGCGATTCAAGCTCGCGAGTGACACCGCGGGCGTGCTGTCACTCCGGGGGTTCCCACGCACGCCCTTCGTTTACAGAGCCCCAGGAGGTCAGCATGGCCTCAAGCCCAGCTATCTTCTGTGCCCCCACCCTGGGCTCCCTCCCTCACCGCTGGCTGAGACACCCGGTCTTCCCAGAGACGGGTTTTCCTCCTGCTCACTGGCTAGCCCACCCTCGAGTCTGCCAGCAGTTTAGTCCCCGCTGTACTAAAAAGATGTGGGCAGGCTGGAGAGGGTCCAGAAAAGGGCCACAAAGATGATCAAAGGACTGGGAAGCCTGCCAAGTGAGGAAGGGCCGAGAGAAGGGACTGACAAGTACAAATGCAAAATACCAAAGGTGTTAATTTTCAGATACATTCCTTGAGGATTTCAACGGGTGGCTTTAACTACTTGACCGGAATCGGGCGGGTTGGTCTTCCTCTGCTCGGTACTTTTACTGAAGGAAAGGGCGGTGACTGTGACTTCTCGGCAGTTTTCAGTCTTCTGCTGGACCTTTGCTTAAGTCCTCTTGCGTTTCTCTTCCAGGGAGCCATGGCCTGGCGTGGCAGGCGTGTGGTCCTCAACTCCAGGCGGTGAGCTCTGTGACAGGAGCGCGGCTCTCTGCGTACCGTTTCCAGGGAGCAAATAAACAGCCTCCCACTGTGCGTGTGGTAAAGGAGTTTTCCTGGCAGAAGAGAACTGGGCTGCTGGTTGGCTTGGAAGAAGCAGAGGGAAGCGTTCTCTGTCTGTACGACCTGTGGATTTGTGGTCAGTCCAGAAAGTTCTGCAGCGTGACGATTGCTGCCGGTCGTGTGTGCAGCTTGTGTTGTGAAACTGCTCACGTTGTTCACGGGTGGTGGCAAATCGTTATCCAGGAACAGAAAGAGCAGAAATGGAGCGTGTCATTGCATAAATGGAATAGTCTGTTCTCTGTCCCTTAAACGCATGAACTGTTATCTGTGGCAGGGAGTAGATTGTATGTTTCCCACTTTACACGTGGTGGTGGTCTGAAAGGAAAAGCAGCATTTCACTGTCCTCAGTTTCACGAAGCTCAGCTTGAAGTTAGTCTGTCTGGTAATTAAGAATGCATTAACAGACATTTTTTACCTTCAGGTTATTGAAGATAGTGTGGGTACGGCAGAAACCTCAGAAGCAGCTCCTGAAACATCGCCGTGTAGTGAGCTCCATCCACCAGGCAATCTTCAACACAGCTGTGCTGCTTCAGAGCAACAGATTGAACGTGAATTGCCAGCTAGTGACGATGGTGAATGTGATGCAGCTGAGGGACACCGAGAGCTCTTTATATCTCAGAGTCATTTTCAGAGCTTCAAAAACCTGGGAAACTGTTTTGTGAAACTGCTTAACAGCCTTCTCCTCACGTATCTTTTTCTGTTTTACTGATCACTTCTGAAATCAAACCCGAAAGTTTGCCCTGTCACTTCAAGGCTCTTAGAACAAGTTAACCTTGAGACTCAGTGAGTGCTGGGACATGTTCTTTTTTCAGTAACATAGGAACGAATCGGTAAAGCTGAACTTGTCTTCCATTCCACTAGACGAGCAGCTATCTGTTCATATCATACTGACGTGCTAAATACATCTTTTCAGGGTTTAAGAAGCGGTTAACAACCACGCAGCCGCTCGGCCTCCCTCCCCCACCTGGGAATGGGGGAGGGAATTGGAGGGGCAAAGGGAGACTTGCAGGTTGAGATAGAAACAGTTTACTAATGGTAATAAAATAAAACGGTGACAGTAATAGAAATTAGAAACGGGCAATGCACCGTGCAGTTGCTCACCACCCGCTGACCGACACCCAGCCCGTTCCCGGCTAGCGATCCCGAAATACTAAGACCCCGCGATTGCAATCCCGGAAGCGAGAGAGAGCCCCTTCCCGCCCACCCCTCCTTTACATAGCGAGCGTGATGTTACATGACGTGGAATAGCCCGTTGGCCAGTCCGGGCCCGGTGCTTCAGCCGTGTCCCATCCCTGCTTCTTTTGTGCCTGCGCAAAGGCAGGACATAGGGATTTGGAGAGTCCTTGAAAGCTCAGTGTGCTGGCAGCATTCTTCTCGCTCCCGAAAAGGAACATGAACTCAATTCCAGCCCGAACCAGGACAAAGGTCACTAGATTCCAGAAGGCAAAGGCTCCCTTAATCACCTGTGACGGGAGTGGAAGATGAAACCAGGAGGCATCAAGTAGAGTATGGCATCACTGCTAGAACACACACAAGGGGACAACTGAGTGGAAGTCCAGGCATTCCCTCGGAAGGCACTCATCAACTGCTGCAGACAGACAGACCGGTTCTGTTTGAATGTCTCCTGGGAGAAGTACCAAGCGAACAAAAGGAGCACCTGAGACTTGTAGACTTGAAACGGGAGGAAATACTCGAGATGAGCAAATACCTGTGATGCCTGTTCCTCCTAGGAGAGGTAGGAAGCCTAAACTGACTAATTCAGAAAAAGTAGAAAGCAGCCATTCTGATGGACAAGCGTTGTCCGTCAGCAGGCTGCCCATAGCTGTTACTCCAAGAGGAGGATTAAGGAGAGCAGAGGAAGCTGCTTCTGAAGTCTCGCAAGAGGCTAGCGAGGAAAGTTCTCCTGCTGAAGGTAGCATTATTGCTTCTGCTCCTTCCAAAAGGACTAGAGGAAGAAAAAGTTGAGCAGG